AATACAACATAAGTTATTATATTATTACTTTTATAACTTTTATAATAATAGTTAAACAGGGGAAAAACCGTCACATTTACAAGTGATGCGTACCTTCAAAACATTTAAGTCTTGGTAGAAGACTACTTTCAAAACATTCAAGTCTTGGTAAAAGATCACTTTCAAAACAGTCAGGTCTTGGTAAAAGACTACTTTCAAAACATTCGGTTCTTGGTAGATGACTACTTTTTATACTAGTAGGAAATATGAGATTTTCTAGGGTTCTCATACTTATACTAAATGTTTCATCAAACATTCACCAGTCTTTCATAACAACTTTTTAAAGTAATAACATTAAAATACTTATGAATTCACCAGCTTTATTGCTGATACTCGCTTTCAAAATAACTTGTATTCTTAGGTTACAAATAGATAGGTACCGATGCAAGGTTTAGAGAAGACGAAGCAGTCAAGACTCGTCTTTTATTTTGAGTATTCATTATGTTGTTTTATACTTGAAAGAACACACTTGTAAGAAGAATTATTTTATTAATGCAATGGATGATGTTGTTGCTTGTTTACTACTTTACATTGTTGTGATACATACATGACGTTCTCCGCCCCAGAACGTTTCCGTTGTTCTCGGTTTTGGGGTGTGACATATACAAGATGAATCTGAATAATCAAAATCATTGGATGTTGATTATGATTTGATTTTTGGTGTTTCAGATCATGCTGTTGATGCTGAAACTAATGCCAAAAACAATCACATCCCTGAACTTTCGAAGCTATCTAATGACTCAACATCAACTCCTCAAGAAATAGGCAAAAGTATGCCAGATGATCCAGTGGAGGGGGAGCACTTGGATTCAAATACTCTTGTCGAGGGGAGCATTCTTTCGAGGGGAGAATGAGAGATTAAATGCAGATGTTGAGGGGGAGCATAATTTTGAGGGGGAGCAGTTACAAAATAATGAAAATTATCACGATGATGATGACGTTTGTTCAATTGTAGGTTCAGAGAATGATGATTTGTACGAAGATGCACCTTTGGACTTTGATCCAGCTTATCCACCAATGGAAAAATGGATTAGAGATCATCCGAAGGAACAAATAATTGGAAATCCACAAGAAGGAGTTTTGACAAGAGCTCAGATTCGTGCAAAGAATGAGGTATCAAATACTCATTAAGAACTGTGTATGTTCAATGTTTTCATCTTTAAAATTGAACCGAAGACAATTAAGATTGCAATGGAACACTCTGATTGAGTTGTTGCTATGCAAGCTGAATTGTCTGAATTTGAACGAAACAAGGTTTGGAGATTAGTTCCTAAACCTGAAAATGTTTCAATTGTCGGGTTAAAATAGATTTTTAAAAACAAAACCGACAAAGATGGAAATATTATTCGAAACAAACCATACTTGATGTCAGAGGATACTCTCAACAAGAAGGAATTGATTGCGAAGAAACTTTTACCCTTGTCGCACGACTCGAGGCGGTTCGTATCTTTTTGGCTTATGCAGATCACAAAGACTTTGATGTTTATCAAATGGATGTGAAGTGTGCATTTTTAAAAGGAGAGCTTGAAGAAACTGTTTACGTGGAACAACCCCCAGGTTTTATTAACAAAGAACATTCTGATCATGTTTATATTTTAGATAAGGCATTTTATGGGTTAAAACAAGCACCACAAGCATGGTATGCAACTCTTACTTCATTTTTGAAACAATCTAAATTTAAACAAGGATCTGTTGATCCCACATTATTTCATAAGAAAGTTGGGAATCATCTTATGCTTGTTCAAATTTATGTTGATGATATTATTTTTGGCTCAACTGACCCAGCTTTGTCTAAAGAATTCGAAGACTTGATGAAAAGTAAGTTCGAAATAAGCATGATGGGTAAGATAAACAATTTTCTTGGTTTAAATATACACCAAAGCAGAGAAGGAATCTTCATTAATCAAGAAAAATATACAAAGAATCTGCTGGAGAAAATTGGAATGACAAATAGCACAAAGGTTCGAGTTCCAACGGCAACTGACATCAAGCTAACCCCTTCGTTAGATAAACAGCAGTTGACCTAACTCTTTTCAGGAGCATGATTGGATCTTTACTATTATTTAACAGCAAGTAGACCTGATATCATGTTCTCTGTGTGTAATTGTGCAAGGTATCAATCAAATCCTCGAGAACCACATCTCACTGCTGTGAAGAATATCTTTCGTTATCTCAAAGGAACAACTTCATTAGGATTGTGGTATCCTTCGAACACTGGGTTCTTTATTCAAGCATATTCAGATGCAGACTTGGGAGGTTGTAATCTTGACAGAAAAATCACGAGTGGCGGATGTCAATTACTCGATGGAAAATTCGTGAGCTGGCAGTCAAAGAAACAAACTTGCATCTCAATTTCCACAGCTGAAACTGAATACGTGGCTGCTGCTGCTTGTACATCACAAATAACTTGGATTTAGCGTCAATTATGAAATTATGCTATTAATATGAAAAAGATTCCATTATACTGTGATTCACAAAGTGCAATAAGAATTTGTCATAATCCTTTGCAGCATTCAAAGACTAAACACACAGCTCTTCGTTATCATTTCATCAAAGATCATGTGGAGGAAGGAAATATTGAAGTACATTTCATGAAAACAACTGATCAGTTAGCTGATATTTTCACAAAAGCTTTGGATGAAAAATCATTTGTATGAATTCTGGAAGGATTAGGAATGATCGATGGAAACTCTATTCCATGCGAAAAAGGAGAATGATGGTTGTTCAGGAATGATTCAGTGGCGCTAAATGAAAGTCAAAGCAAACCTGTTCAGTGTTCAGAGGTTACTATTCATAGTCAACTCTTTGAACGCTTCGAATTCGTATCTTTGTCACTTTGGAGGAGATGATAAAATTTCGTGTGTTTGCAACAAGTACCCTTCATATATTTGAGTCATTTATTTTCTTTTCGAAAAATCAAAAACTCAAAAAGATTTTCATTTGTTTTGTTATTTTCTTTTCGAAAAATCAAAAACTCAAAAAGATTTTCATTTGTTTTGTTATTTTCTTTTCGAAAAATCAAAAACTCTAAAAGATTTTCATTTGTGTTGTTATTTTCTTTTCGAAAAATCAAAAAACTCAAAAAAAAAAAAAAAGATTTTCTCTTTATTTTTGAAAAATTAAAACAACAAAAATATTTTGTTTCTCATTTCATTTTAAGTACCTTGTTGTAGATATTCATGAACACACGAAGGATATAATGCTTGCAGTTCTAGGGTCAGGTAAATCTTTCATATGAATCTTTGAATCTTAATCATTTTGAACTAGTTAAGATGTCCCTAGAAGCATGCTGCAGCATGTTGTCGGAAGCCTCCATTGACTCTATGTGTGTAAATGAAAGCCTTAATGAAATTTTCATACGAAGATTTCTTCCCAATCAGGCTTATATTCACATTAGTCTCCTCAGCTACCTGACTCTTCTCATATGAGTTAAGAAATTACTGTTTTGTCCAGTTATAACAAAGGTACACTTCGTGTCTTATACCAATCTTTTTCATCTAAAATTCTTTCACAATCACACACAAAGACATATGTCCAAGATGTCTTTGATCAAACCAATCGAGACTTAGACATGTCAAAAATCTATGGTTATGATCTAACATCATGAGACCGTGATGAAAGTGAAACCCAAAATCTTCAAACATTTAAGGATTTGACAGGGAACAATGTTCCAAATTTTTACGAAACTTTTGTTTCAGTACCTTTTTCAAAACTCCAAATCATATTCATTTCATATGAGTGGTCTTGATCAAACATTCGAAGCCCACGGTGTTTGTTACCCAACAATCCAGCACAATTTTTTTCATGAATATGATTTCCGTGTGAGTTTACTTCGAAAATCCTTGTCACTTTAAATATTTTTCAAATCCAACTTGTCACTAACTACACTGGTCAAACAAGTAATTTATGTTACAATTACTCACCTAATGATAAGGTTGATATGTAACGAAATTTTATAACCTACCTACGAAGCCCACAAAAGATGCGCTTCGAAACTTATCTACAAGTTTTCGATTGTATTCCATCCAAAAAGTTCTGACGGTTACAATTCTCTTGGGGCAAACATTACAAGCTATATTTCTATGACGTATGGCATGCTGTCCGGGTTTCAAGGAGATTGGACAGTTACTTTTTAGTGAATGGCCATTTTAATGGAGTAGTGGTCCGATTTTAGGGTGCCATGTCAACAATCATTAAATGCACATCCCGCTTTTAATTCAAACACAAGGGTTGCATATAAAAGGGGATTCATGGGTATTCTATCTGTTTACATGTTCAAAAGAAAATTCCCAAAATTCTCTCTGATTTTCAAAGCTTCAAAACCCTAACAATGGCGACTCCTGCTCCTGATGTTACTCATTCTTCTCCAACAACAAATGATGTATCTTCACTACCAATTATGAAGATTCAGGGAACCAACTACCAAGTAGAATCTGATATCTCGCAATACCCTGAAGAACTCAAGATGCTAGTTGTTGCTTTGAAGAGTTCTGTTCTTTCCACGGTGATGTTTAATTCTTTTTCCATTCCGATTTCTTGGCTTTCTCAGGCAGGATCAACGGCGACGTACACAAAAGCATTTGAAGCAGTTGAGTTCAGCTTGGTTAATGATAAAAAGGTTAGAATGTCCAAGAAGCTTTTCTGTCGAATTTTGCAAATCCCTAATTCTCCACCATATGTCGATTTTACCTTTCCTCAAATAATTCATATGTTCAATGAAATGAGCCATCAACCTCAGTTAACAAAGATTAGTGACTTCAAGAAGTCGAGTCTTCCCACAGTGTGGAATTTTCTGTTTGGTATCTTTTTGAGATGTTTAACTGGACGCACAGTTGGTCTTGATAAAGGGTGTATGGAAGTATATGCTATGGTCGCAGGGTTATAATATGATTTACAAGTAGATTATTCTACTCAACTATGGAAAGATTTTTTGAAGAGTGTTGAGAACACGAATGCTCATCATGGTATTTCGTGTGCAAGATATTGGAGCTTAATCTTGAAGTACTTTTGCGAGAAAGAAGGGATATTGGTTCCAGCTGATGAAGAAAGAGCAGTTTTTCATGTATACAATTGTCCGAAGGAGGTGTTAGATGATGCTGAAGAATTTCCTTCTATTGCTCGTATACCTGATGCAATGCTTAATAGGGTTGATCCTTCGAATCCAGTGTTTGTGGCTTACTTACAAACCATTGATACTTCTGTGGAAACTGGGGTTTTATTGCCAAGGGAGGAGAAAATGTCCAAATGATGGAAGAAGAGTGATGCTAGTTCTTCTAAGAAACCTATAAAGGAGTCTAAGCCTAAAAAGTCTCCAAAAAAGAAGCCAGTTATTGTTGAAGTGTCTGTTTTACCCGAAGTCTCTACTGCTGAAACAAAAAAAGTTGATCCGGTTGTTGAGGAGAAAGAAGAAGAAGAGATTATTCCTTCGAAAACCGGAGTTCTTCATAGAATCAAGATGAAGTCTAAACATCTACAAAAGTCTTCATCTCCTCATGTTGTACGAAAGCAACAGGTAACACATCAAGGAGTCTTAATCCGTGAAGTTCCAGCGCCTGTTTCTCCTTTGTCGAAGAAACGAAGGGTTGAGGATATGGCAAAGCAGATTTCAAAGAAGCAGAAAAAGAAGACTCATAAGATAATCCTTTCACCAGAGTCAATTGAAGAAGATGAAACTATTCTTGCAACACCAGAAGCTAATCAAGAAATTTTAACTCGTGATCAGACAAAAGATATACCACCTAAAGTTTCGAATGTCGAGTCATCTAATGAGGAGAAACAAACTTTGGACATCATTGTACACGTATCTAATACGGATACAAATGTCAATAAGGGTGAGGAAAATCCGAAGACTACTACTCAAGGTGATTCTGAAACTTTTGTCTCATTACCTCCACAAATTATCCCAATCTCTTCAACCACTAATTCACCAACATTCCAACAAATTATCAATAAACCATTCACTTCCATATTCTCTTCACAATCCACTGATCCACCTAAAACTAATTCTCCTGGTCAAGAAACTGTTGAGATGGAAACTGACACTGACAATGAAGGTTTTGGAGGAACTTTTGAAAATTTATCATCTGATGATGAAGAAGAAGAATTCCCTGATCATATGCTTATGACGATGAAGCAATACAAAATTTTGAATTCGAATTTGAACTCCATTATTCAATCACAGGCTGACTTAGGGGGTGGTTCATCAGTGTCTAGTTTGGAAGTTGACATGATGCTGAAAATGCTCGAAGCTAGGGTTATCAGTAAAGTTTCTGGGATGATGAGGGATTCGGAAGCAAGAGTGTTGGAAAAGGTTGATCATAATGATCAAACTAATGAGCTTCGTTTGAATTCTCAAAGAACAGATTTTATCGGAGAGGTGAAGGATTACAAAATACTGACAAGGGAGAGGCATATTTTGTTTGTTCAGGAAGTAAAGAAAGTAAGGGAAGATGTCAACTTGTAGATTCACGAACTTCGTGAAGATATGCAAACGGAAATTACAAAATTTGAACAAGACTATGGTGCCTTAAACAAGAAGATTGATATAATTTGTGACGCTGTCACGAAATTTGTCAAGTTGTACGAAAAGTTGAGTACTCAACTCACTCAGCTTTCTATAATGGAAAACAAAAATTTTGGAGAATTGGTTTCATTGTTAAAGGAGTTAAAAGATTTGTCCGTCAAGCATGTTTCTTCATCTTTGATTAATCCAGAATTCTTATCTCAGAAGTTTGTTCAGTTCGAAGCCATCTTACAGAAACAAATGGCTCCTCTATCTCGCATCTCAAACCTTCTTCCGCCAACAAATGCCTCACCTGCTTTCACAGGTGTGCAAGGGGGAGAAAAGAAAGAAGATTCGAAGGCTAGTGGTGATGATGTGAAGGTAGTGGGAAAAGTATTTTCTTCGAATATTCCGACAACAAAGCCAATTATCATGTCTGTTGGACCAATCTCTTCGACTGTTGTTACAACGGTACTAATGTCAAGACCAATACAAAAAGGAATTGTAATTGGTAATACAGGAGGAAATGCTTCGAAGACAAAAGAATTTGTTGATTTGTCAGCCTCAAAAGATAAGGGAAAAGCTATACTGGTTGAACAGACGAAGGATGAAAAGAAGGCTCAGGCTGAAGCTGAAATAGAAAGAATGAGGTTAGTGCAGAGCATAATGACACTTCGTGTAAGTGATCCTCCTGGGTTGGAAAAAGGAGATCCCGCAAAACAGTATAACTAAGAAACGATTGAATCGAAGGTGTTATTTGATCAAGTGTACTCCTTTGAGAAGAAGCCAAAACAAAGTTATGTGGTAACAAATACTGATGCAAGTCAGCTTGACTTTCCAATAAACGAAATGATGTTTGTTATGCCGCAATTTAAAGCCGAATGAGATTTCAAAGATAGTGAAGAAGGAAAACGTATGAAAATTTGTTTTCATGTAGTTTAGCTAAAGCTCCAGAGGATGTTTGGTCTTTAGTGAAGATCAAGAAAGTTATCAGCATGAAGAGGGATGTGACTTTCGAAAACATTGTGCAGAATGTTAGATACACTGTGTTCAAGGCGAATGGAAAAGTTTGTGACTTTACAATTGCAGATTTTCCATAGTCTACAAAATAACAATTCAAACCATATTAAGCACCTTTTGTCCAAATTTTCATATTGCATAAATATACTTGATATTGCATGATAAATATGTATAAACTAGGCGATATCATTGAGATGACAGTTTACTAGTGAAATGAAAAATTAATGGTGAAATAGAAAATCAATAGTGAAATGACAAATCAATGGTGATGTAATACCCATTTTCCATAGCATGTATATAACTTGTTATAAGATAAGTAAGAGAAATAAAGATTGGAGTTTGTTTTAAATTATGTATTGTGTTTTAGTAAAACTAAGTTGTATTTCATACGAAGATGATTTTATAGATATAAAGTTCGTCCAATACAAAGTTCATATGAGAAACATATGGTAGTTTGAATTTGAAATAAAAGTACATTGCTATTTTGAGAAAATCAACAATAGTTAAAGTCAAACAATAAAGTATCAAGTACAACACGACGCATAGGTTGAGTTACACAGTGTGAAGGCAATCAGAGTCACCAGACATGTGCTGACTATGGATGGATACGTGGCGGAAGGATGAGACACATGTTGAGATCTCATACAAAACACCAATTTGAGGCGTAAAGTTGAGTGTGTTGCGGTGCAACACTCGAGTAGTATACATAGGTTATGGTTGTGTCATTTGAGGATTTGTTTTGGCACACACGATCAGGGGAGAGGCTTGAGAGGTGTTTCTGGAGATTTAATACTATGGAGTCGTACTAGCTTACGGGGGTATGAGGGTTGAGCAATGATATGAGTCGATGTATTTTTGATATTGTTATTACATAATTATGTTTACGTAAGGGTTTTCTAGTGGGTTGTTAGATCTCGAGTGTTAGAGGATTTCATAATATGGTGCTATTACAAACCCACAGATTAGTTCAATGTTATTCTAGTTAGTAAGGGGTTAAACATCCTAATTTACCAATATTTTGTTGATAGGGTTAACAAGTTAGATGTTTTAGTTTTCAGGTGATTATATGTGGACATTTAATTAGTTTAGTGACAAATAGTCACAGATTTTAGCTAGTAGTATATGGTTACAAGTTTTGAGGAACTTGTTAAATTATTAATTAGGTGTTAGAATGTGGCAAGTTGAAAGGTAGCGAAGGTCAGAGACCAAAGATGGAATTAGTTATCTAAATAACCATGTGAGTAACTCTACTCTAACATCAGATATTTATTGATGTTTGTTGTTACACATATATGAGAATTTAATATACCATGATATTGTTATATTATGCATCATTAAGATGATAGTACGATGTAGTTTGATGAAATATAAGGTGATAGTTGATATATGGAATGGAAAATAAACATGATGTACCTACTTTGGATGGAGGATTCCTAAAGGGGTGGTTAGGGTAGTGGTGAAACGTTGGTTTGTCTTGATAGTGTTGCCAAGTTATAACATTTATGGTAAAACGATACTAGTAGGTTTTATGTATTGTCAGTAAACAATAACTAGTTAGTAGAATTTAATTAGCATATTAGATGTGATGTATATTTTGAATGATAAGTTAAATTTGTAAATGATGTTATGTATTGTTACGTTATTGTAATTGTTATTCAATACGCCTTATGGCTTATGATGTTTTTATCGTTGTGTTGCGGGTTAGGTTGTTGCAGCACCCAACTCAGATCATGTACTTGATATCGGTATGATTCATGGTGATAACTTCTTAAAATATCAACATTCTATTGTACACTAAAATGTTTTATAAGATTTTAAATAAAAGAAATTTTGTTGGGGTGTACCTAGTGTGAAAACATGGGTGTTATAGGTGACATACTCCACCAACCACTTTGATAAACCCTCTATATAGAGTACATAAAATGCCTTCAAGAAGCTTACTTTGAATATGGAGTATCTTTAATTAAATCTACCAAATGGTATGTTGTAATTATAGAAGTAAAGCAATTATAAGGATCTCGAGGACAAACTGTAACCCTGGACGACCATTATATGATTTTCCAAAAATGGTAGCATGTTCTCAATTTACCCTTTATTTTTATTTTTAGATATATTGATGCCTCACCTGTGAATCCTAATCCACTGTTTCTTAATTTCAAAAGGACCATGGTATGGGTTTATTTGTTGGGTTGATGCTAAAAACTACCATAACAATACGTTGATAAATTATCGGTTGGTCAGGTCGGTCAGACATCTTGAAACATATGATATGAAGTTGAAAATATTATTGGTTTGTAGTTAGGTACTATTCTTGGCCATAATTGTTTACAAGTCGCAACCTTTAACAATATTAGTTGTCTATTTAATTGTACTACTAGTGATAGAGATTATGATTAGTAATATTGGTTGTTTTTTTATGTAAGTTGTTTTTGATATTATATCTAGTTAATTGCTTTATAATAAATTAGTAAAATTCAAATCCAAAGTACTTTCCTAATATCATTACCTTCCTAAACAACTATACAAACACATTGTATCATTACTTTTCTAATATCCACTTTTATTTGGAAAATTTTAAAAACAACACAACCATCCTACTTAAGAAATTATAAAATAGGACTTTATGACCTCCAAATTTGGAGTGTCATATTTCTATGGCTAGTCCTTTCTATCTAGGACATAGTCATGAAAAAAAATCACCCCAAAAGGAGGTGTACGAAAGAGTTATGAAGGTTCAAAGTTGGGTCATTTTCATATTTTTCACTGAATAGCCTACTTTGGACCTAGAAAGGTATGTCATATGATCATTTAAATTTAGAGTGTGATATGTATATGGATATCCATTACTAAATAGAAAAAATGAAAAAAAATTTCACCCCAAATGGAATTTGTATGAAAGAGTTATGAATGTTCAAAGTTAGGGAAAAAACTAGATTTTCGTAAGCAAAATCTACGAAAATCTACCTAGACAATACATGCTTTTCAATAACAAAAAATGACAAGAAAATACATGTTTTACAACAAAAAACAGATGATGACGTTGCTTTTCGCAGTTCAAGGGGGCTTCTTAGCAGTTAACGCCCAAAAAAAGAACTTTTGACATATGACGTCACATTTAGCAGATGGTTATTATGGTTATTTTCTTTATATATATATATATATATATATATATATATATATATATATATATATATATATATATATATATATAACAAATGAATTGGTTGGTACGATATTAATGCGATATTTAAAATTTTATACAATTACCATACCTTGATTACATACTTTCTAAGATACTACTAACCAAATATATTGGTAGAAAACTTTCTTGGTTCAGTTGGTATTATGTTGGTTGGTTTTCCTTGGTACATATTTGGTAGCCCTACTAAGGATATCATTTATAGCTATAGTCTGAAGGAACAGATCAACTTTAATTACACTGACCCTTACCCCTTCATTATGTCATACATGAACATATTTTATATAACTGTCAGTTAACATTGGAGGAAATCAAGGCACAACATATTAAGATTCAGTACTACATATCTCCGTTTCGAGTACATAAGATACTACCATCTTAGAATTACTCGTGACAATATTCCATGAAGTAATTCTCTTAGTACACATTACTTTAATGCATGCTAACTATTAAGGATATGTGTGTGTTAGTCACATCATTATGTTACATCCATCACTATGGATAATATATTGGCACCCATTTTAGTCTTAATTCAACACTTTCTTATTATGAACTATGGTCGACTATGGAGATTTTGAATATGGTATTCAAGGAAGTGTAAAACATGTGAAATTTAACACATAACTGAATCAATAATAGTAATAGGTCACTAACATAGATTAAGATCTGAACATAATAATTTACTTTATTTAAATATCATGTTATATTAGTTTACAATATCAAATCAATTAATTTATTATGCTATGTCAATTGAGTGTTAAATGCAATAGACTTAATGCAAGAGCCATAATTTAACTAGGTTAACAACTTGGAGTTACCAAAGTTCCCTTCCAAAATTAATCTATGAAGTTAACAACTTTGAGTATGTCTAGTCTGCAAAATCTTTGATGAACTCCTCTATCCACATCGTATTCTGTAACACCCTGTTCCCAAAAGGATAAAAGACCTATTTGGTCCCAATTAAAATTTGATAACAAAATATCATTCAAAAAAATTATTCCTTCTGAGGTTACATAAAACATTGTCATCGAGAGTAAATAACAGAAGACTTTGTATTTTCAAAGTTGTAATGTGGATGTTGTAGTCAAGTTGTGTTCTTTTCTGATAATCCTGAAATTTTTTAATAACAACGGGTAAGCGAAAATGATTAGTGAATTAGCATAACATTCACTCGTTATATTAATCATGTATCTCCAAATAGGTTAACATGACATATGAATCCTAAAATATACTAGACACACTAATGAGGATTAATCACACCATTTTCATGATCAAGGGATGATTAATCACACCATTGTCATGATTGCCTTACCTCTAACTGATTTCATGAAGGACATACTGAGTTAGTCCATCACTTTCACCTATACCTATATATGAAGACTGATAAAGATTGTCCACCCCTAACTGACTCCGCGAAATATATCCTTAGTTAGTCCATCCTTTTAACCTATTCTACTCTACCGAATGGGGTATCTATGGAAAATATTCACATAAACAGGCAAAGCTAACATAATATATGGGTTAGTGTAACTCACCTGATCATTTACTTGAACGACTAACTGCTGAAGTATAGAGTAGGCATACCAAGCACGTATTAACCTATAATACTATTTCTGATTAATAACTATGGAATCTAGTAACTAATAACTAGATCCTTAATTAATCCCATAACAATGAAAATGGAATACCCTATATTCAGTTATACTGAATTGAAAGTATAACTTACTCAATTAATGAATGACTCAAAAAATGATGAGCGTAGCCTTGATGATTAGCCCTTTTCTTGTAGGTTCCTTTCAATGCTTCATTGCTTCGTTACTGAAACTAGAGAACAAGAAATCGAATCATGAGGGACTGAGATATCGAGGGATAGAGAAAGATAATCGACAAAGAAAGGGATGAGAAATAATGAGTTTTAGGCTGCTATTTATAGCCACTAAAACTGGTTGGCATGCCATGGTTAAGAAACATTTTGAATCTATGCCACATATCATTCATCTATTGTCATGT